CCGAAGGCGGCGCCCGCCGCGCCGGCGCGGAGCGCGCGCTCCGGCACCGCGTCCCCCAGTACAAAGGAGAAAAACAGATTCCACCGGAAATTCAATGTGGCACCACATATGGGATACATGAGTGCGGTTATACAACAGGCCACATATTTTTTATTTTCTTTTTTTTTTTCCCCCTTTTTCTTTTTTTTTTTCTGAACAGGCTCCTGCATGTGATGCCGAGGACATGTGTAACCATCACAACGTCTCCACGAATCTGTATTTAATTTGAGCCGGGGTGGTGGCAGGGATTGGAGATCTGAAGCCGCCACAGGTTTGTGGCAGATGGCTCTGTGTCAGCTATGACAAGCAGCCAGGCTCGGCTTCCTCTGCAGATTTTCTTTGCTCTCTGATCAGGTAAATATGGGCACACTCTGGAAAGTTCTGCGATTCTGCCTTAGGCTGCAAGTTTGTGACTTGGGCCCATCTGTCGCGAATCCCGCGTCGCTCCGGCGCCGAGCAGGGCCCGGAATCGGCCGCGCAGCTCTGCCCAGGAGAAGCCGGCCGGGGCGCCCTGCGAGGAGCAGACAGCGTGAGGACGGCTCGCCAGGCCCTGCTTTTAGTGAAAATAAGAGATTTCCACCCACATTTTCTCCTTTTTTTTGCACGCTTAACAGTTTCCACATTGCAATGTATTTATTTGCACGTCCTTTGCAGCTGAGCGAGCTCCTGGGTTTTGACTCTGGTAAAGCAACATCACAGCATTACAGATGCATATGCTTTTATATTTCTGGTGATAACTTTGCAAAGGTCTGGGCAAGTATCTTTCTTTAGCTTTTCCTAAGGTATAGAGCATATATCAGCCAACAGTTCCTAAATAAAGGAGACCAACTCATCAAGATTAGCCCAGTTCTTATATAAAGCATGATCTTCCCAAGGAAGAAAGGCATCAGACCGAGATGTCAGCAGCAATACAGTATCTTTTATGCTATAATCAACTTTTTTGTTTCTTCTGCCCTAAGAGTGGAAACGAAATAATTAATATTTACTTGGTCATCATCAGACTTCAGAGTTAACCTTTAGACTATAATAAGGACAGTTTGTTCATTCAGACCTTCTGCTTCTCAACAGTTGGAACAGATAGGCCTGATCTGGTTTATGTTTTAGCATTTTTAAATATTTCCTTAACAAAATTAAGTACTGGAGGTTACTATTTGGCACAAAACCTGAGATTTGGAGTACAAGAAAGCACAGCGATTTGCAGAACTAATTTGTCCGGGTCAGCTTTCCCCTGTGACCCAGTTCCTTCCCTTTGCAAGTGACAGTCAAGCTGCAAAGCTGCTTGTGGTAAAGCATTTTCTTTATCTTAAAACTCATTTCTTTCTTTCATTCTCTCTTTAAACACAAAGGAAAAAGATCAAATGTGGGGTGCAGTTTTAGATAAGACTAGGAAGGGATGGTTCAGACCACGCTGGCCAACTGCAGCCATAGGAAAGGAGCTCTTGGCTCTCTTTCTCAAGGTAATTTGGATATATTTTACTGGAAAAAAAAGAGAGAGAAAAAAAAATTTCATTCTTTCTCCAACTTTTCCATCAATCATATTCCCTTGACCCATTTCTCCATTTACCATTCTGCAGCAGCTGTGCTTCATCTGCCAGTTTTCATTTACTTTCTGAAACTAAATTGGAAGCTATCTAATATTGTTATAATAAAAAGTTCAAAGTCCTTGCGTTTATGCTGCAAGATGGACACAAAACTGCCTTTTCTTAATGAATGCTTTCTTCCTGCTCTACAAACATAGCCAACTGCTATGAGCTACGAACCAAGATCTGCTGAAAAGCCCAGGGACAGCCAAGTCCTGGGAGAAGTTCAGATGCAGGAAAGTGTTTTCCAGGCTGGGTATATATAGGTGTGTGTACATATATATGTACATATAGCAGGGTCTCAAGATGACCTAGAAGGCTACCTTCAGTCCCTGCTAGTTCATCTGCAATGAGGATCTGCATTGCTATGAGCACTGCTAAGGCCTCAGGTTGGCCCAAAATGCAAAGGCTCTGTTCCATGTTCCAGCAGATCTTCCCACCCTTGGAAACATCCCAAACTGGGCGCATCTTCAGCTGTATCAGCAATATAGATGGGAATAAAAAATGTCTAAACTTCAGACCTGACCTGGCTATGAGCAGCACAATCCAACTTGGTGTTAGATCCAACCTCGGAGCTGGCACGTCCTTGAATACAGGCTGGAGCAGATAACATCCAGAGGTCCCTTCCAAAATTATTCTGGTTTTGTGGCCTAAATAAGTAACCAAAGGCTTCTGTGACATAGGAAATCCTTATCTCACACACACTGGTACTTAAGGACCTGTCCTTAAGCAGCTCTTTCTAGTCCTAGACACAGTCAGGAGAGCATGGGCGCACTGTCCTGCACTCCAGAGCTTCCTACCATGAATAATGCTGCCCATATTTAGCATATTTCTGAAAACGCTTAAAATTAGGCTCACAGGAAAACAAACCATGAGTTTCCCCCTCGTGCTTGCAAACTCCCATCACAGCTAGGTACAAGCAAAAATTCAACACTTTTATCTGCAAAACCGCTCTGCTGATGAGTGGAAGTTGGTAGGATGGACAGAGATATTTGCAGTAGTCAAACACCCTATAGAGCTCTAAATTCATTTTATCAGCTCGGGACAGAAGACTTGGAGAACACTGTAAAAAAACATCTGTTCAATATACGTTTGTGGTTAGAAAAGTAAACAGCAGTTTGCCTGCCTAAGGAACAGGTTGACAGTGATCACAGAATGCAGAAATTGATGGCGTGGTCTACAACACCCTGCCAAGTAATGATGATCCCATCCTGAAGCCGTTCTGGAGCATCAGGATGGGCTGAATGATAGGAGAGGAGAACATAAACGCAGAAAAACATTTACGAGGAGAGCTGAGAAGACCAACGTACCCTAAGTGCTTGACAAATGTCTGCAAGAGCATGAAAGGCATCGAAAAGATGGACTGAGAGCTTCTGTCTGCAGGAGAACAACTCATGAAGCAGGAGACCCTCAAGGAAATGAGGGCAGAGAAACTTTGTGCTGATTAAAGGAAATGCCTCTAGCTAAGTGTGCAAACGCACCATGAAGCTCCTTGCTATGGAAAGCCATCAAAGAGAAGGTCCAACGGGCACCTATCACCTAAAGAATGACAACAATGAATACCAAGAGAAGATCAGTAAAGTGTGGACGAAAGAGAAGCAGTTTTCCTGTCTACTTCAGTTTTCCTGGAATGACAAAAATATCAAAAATCTCAATTGGAGCAAAAAGAAAAGGAGTATGGCAGGGAGGGGGAATGAAAATTTTGTTAAAACTGGTCTACACAGTCAAATCCTAAGAAGGGAAACAACTCGGATGTCGAAGGTCTCAGTGAGATCTTAATTTGATTCTAGCAGTAGTCAATCCCTTTGGACTCGGGAGAGGCACTTCTCTTTGCAGTGGTGGGAGCGAGAAGGAAGCCCCACGGTGTGTGTCCTCCTGGGCTGGGAAGCACGGGATGGATGTCAGAAAAGGGGCAAATGCTCTTCTCCATTAAACAAGCCCCAGCGAGAGGAGGTTTTCTTGGAGGACCCGAGCTGATGGCATCTCGGCCGCACTCATTGAGTGTTGAGGGCTGAGGGACATTATCTGGGGTTGTCAGCTCCTTCCAAGCCTGGCTTTGGGCAACCCTGATGGCCCTTTCCATGGTCTCCTTTTCCTATACAGACTGTTTTAAATTAAGAATGTGAATGGGAGGGGGAACTGAAAAGTAAATGGAAAGCAAATAATGCAGAAAGGAAAGGGTTTAGGGAAGTCCTGCCTGGGGAGCTTGCAAACACTGTCGGGTCCTAGGGCATCCTCCAAGGGAAATGTCTGACCCAGAGATGCTCTTTGCTCCATCCTGATGTTTAGTTTGGCAAGCACAAATACCCAGCATGAAAGAGAGGGAATTCCTTCTTCCTCTTTCCTTCTGCTCCTACCTCCACCAGCACGGGCATGGAGAACAGCTGCAGGAATCCAGAGCTGCCTGAACATTTTGGATATCCTTAATGATAATAACGAAAAAATAGCAAAAACATGCACAAAGATGATCCAGGGTCCTTCTGAGGATGCCGCGTTTTGCTCTTTTTAGAAGGTTTTGTGATGAGTTTAGTCGCAAAATAGCCCATGTGGGTTAAAGAAACCCTGGGGACCCACTCTGGGCCCGGCTTTGCTTTCCAGGCCCTATCCCAAACTACGACGACGCTGCCGAGTCCGGGAGCGACGCTGAGCGCTGGAAGTGTTCAGTCAGCATTTTAAACTATTATGAGCTACCTTCTGAACCATTGCCAAGTTAATAGACAATGAAAGATAATGAGCTTGAAATTGGGTGTTAAATTGCATTTTTGGTTCTCTCCTTTTTTTTTCTTTCTCGAAGTTTAACTGTTTCCTGCAGAAAACAACATCGTCTTTGATGTATCATTATGCAAATGTCTATTTTTAGGTCACTGAAAGAGTCGTCCATGGGCAAAACTGGCATAGAGAGGCAGCCCAAAGGTGGAAAGAGCCAAATGTAGCCAAATACAGAGATTACTCGACCTGATCAGTCACAAAATGCCACCTGAAATGTCCTGCTCCTGCCAGGAACAGCCTCTCCCCTGCTCACACTGCAGCCAGGGCTGCAGAAGTGGGACCTGAGCGGTCAGCAGTGCAAGTTGACATCTTGGTGTGCAAAATATACAGGTATTTTATAAATGTCCTGCTATGTAAGCACGGCTTTTTGCTGAAATAATGTCAAATTTAGTGCTTCACCTGTATTCACCTAATGCGAAAGTAAAGTTTGACTCCTAGCAATACAAACACGCATCTGGAAGACTGGTGCTGAACACCTGATCGAAGCTTCGGTAGCTGCTCTGCCACTTAAACTCTGCTTTCTCTAAATAAATAACTGTGAAGCAGCAAATTATGTCTACAGAAAACTTTATATTCACTCTGCTTTACAAAACAAAGAGCAAAAATAGCTATGATCATCAAACTAATTCAAATATTCCCAAAACCTTACCTGATGATAAGTCACCTGCATTTTTTTGAGGACCAGAAATTAAATTAGAATGCAAAGGTAGGCTTATCCTCATTAGTATAATTGTAGTATCTTTCTTTTATTTTCCTTTTAAACTAATGAGTTACATTAATCCAGGTTCATTTTTATAAGCCTCTTGGGTCCAAATGTAAAGGACAGTCATTTTAGAAAACAATAAATTAAAAAAAAAAGCATGTAGCATGCATTAAGTGCACATATTTCATAAGACCTAGGTTAATACAACTGGCATCTAGTTTAATTAATCCTTGTTAGTGTAACAACTAATATCCCTCCCTTGCATGTTTCCTTTAAACATTAGTATGTTAATTAAATGTTGTTTTTTTAAGTTTTTTTTTCCCCCTTTGTACATCAATATGGCATTATATCATGTAAAACTATTCTGAGCAAGTACCTTATAGAGATGTTTCCTTACAATATCTGGTCTCTTGCAGAAATTCTGAAGCCTTTTAAAAAGCTGTTCAGGTGTAGAATACAGATATTCAGCTGCAGGAAAAACAGATACATTTTTAATGAAACAAAAACCTCAAAGCACACACTCGATATTAGTCACTTTACTAATTAAAAATGCATATTGCTCTGTGCCGCCTCGTGTTTTACATTATTTAAGCATGATTTTATAAGGTTACCTCAGCTCACAAGGATGTTTAATGCTAAATAAGACTGTGTAGTTGTGCTGTTTAGACATCTCCTTTGGGTGATTAAAATACATTATTCTAATGTAACACAATGCATATGTGATACATTTAGTGATGAGATTTTTCAAAGAACTGGTCCTGCATTAGTGTGAATCCTGTACCACCGTGATACACTATTAACTATTGAATTGTTTAAATAATTTGGTGGGATTTTCAGGCCTCCATTTTTTTTTTGCCCTCTGCACATCAAAAAAAAAATCTGCAAACCACTGCAGCATCACTGACCTTTTTACCAAAAATCTATCATTATGGCTTGTGTATGCTCACAATGAAGAATGCTATTTCAAAACTTGCTTTTGTGCTATCTTAAAAGAACAGATGGTAAATATAAACTTCGTCTAATGTATTAAAACACATAAAATTTTCCTTAACACTAACATGCCGGCTTGCCAAATAAACAATTGCTTGTGCTCGAGTTTATTCCCGAACTTTGGGTTTCGGCAGGAATCACGTACTGCGTTGGAGCAGGGAGCGCGGGGGGAAAGCAGCTACCTGGGAAGATCTCGGGGTACACGAGGGCCCGGGGACACAGCGGGTAGCAGCCGCAGTACACAGCCTCCATCCTGCGGGTAAAAACAGCAAAAATGGGAAAAAAAAGACGTGAGCGAGCCAAAAACTTACTTTGTGGCAAGAGCAGGGAGGGCGACCACGCACGGCACGAGCGAAACATTCCCCTGCTCGGCAGCGCAATCCTTCTAAATGCCAAAGTTGCTCTTTTTAAAGAAAATTTTATTGATCATATGAATTGCATAGAACAGAACAGTGAGCATATGTTTTGTGCGCTGAATAAATCAAAGCGCAGCTCTGCATTTTTTTGTTTTTTAAATACTGCTTAACACATTTTGTAATCAGCAGACAGACACATGTAGCAACATGGGGAAGCATGGGCGGCTTTTCTTAATAACGCGGCGAGGGCCGCGGGGGTGACACACGGACACGGCCACCGGCAGCATCCCAAGGTGACAGCTCCGCAGCATCCGGGCGGCCGGAATCTCCCGGCTTATGCCCACAATTCAGGTCATTTCCGTTACTTTCCAGGACTTCCACGGGTTAAAGCGTCAAGTTTTCCGTTTGTTTTTTTTTGCATAATGACCATTGATCTGACATAATGTCCCTCTGAAGATACAACTGTAATTTCTGTTGGCCAGAAATTACATAGTGAAATTCAAAACACTTCTTAGAATATGTTTATTTTATGAGAGTCTTTGAATTTCCTCCAACGTGTTGACCATACGAGGGCTTTATTTTTAACTTCAGCTTGCCTCAGTCCCTAGAAAAAAAAATCTGAAATCCCATCAATGTTCACCTTTTATTTTCAGTGACAATTTGCAAGACTTTCACTATATTCACATGTCTCTTGGCTTCTTTGCTTTATTTCAGGCAGCCAATCTAGCCCAGAATGAACTGTTTCCTTTAGTTCTGCTTTAGTGTTGAACAGGAACAAAAATAAAATAAAGAATAACACAGCCAGCTTCCATACTAGACAACTATGCTTATCCACAAAAAAACCCCACTCCCCCCCAAAAAAAACCATCAAAAAACAAAGATATACATTTCTCTGCAAATGCTCTGCTGAGGAACGATTGCAGTTTTTTTCCATAAACTTTTAAAATTTGTAGTTTATGGTTTTTGAAATAACATATGTACTTCAGATTGCATTTTAAACATTAACAACAATTTCAAAGTGTACATCGTCTAGCACTATATTTTTTACCAAAGGGAAATGTTTCTGATGTGTGATTTAATTGATGATTTCAGTTCTTAAATATTGTGTCATATGTCAAAGCAAATAGATTTTTAAAGTTTTCTTTAATCTAGAAAAAAAAAGAGTGAAACTGTGGACATTTCAGTAATAGCTTAGATCACTAAGTTATGTTAAAATATTTGCTTTTTAATCATTTCGTCTGGATGAAAAAAAAAAGGAAAAAGGAAAAAAAAAAAAAGAAAAAAGAAGAGCAGCTCCCTAGAACAGAACTGCAGGCCAAGATGCAATCTGAGTCATCACTTGAGCACGCAATTTCCCCTTACAAACCTCTAGCAGCAGCATGAATTAGTAAACTCGGAATGTCACACTTGTGCACTTTGCCGGATACCGGCTCGGGTTTGGAATTCTGTCATTTCCAAAGGCTGCTGTTTGCCTTGGCCTTTCCCACCTTCCCACCCCAACGCTTGGGTGGCTCTGGAGGGGTTCAGGTTCCTGCTCCCTGTTCTAGGTCCCCTTCCCAGCCCGTTCGAAACGAACCGGACATGTAGGGGCCAAATATAGCAAGAAAAGCACCCAAAAAACCCCCCGTTTGGGCCATTTTCCAGATAAGCCTCATATCATGACAATAATACAATTATTCTCCATTCCACTTCTTGAGCGCTACTAGTTAAATAATAAACAGCGCTCCGATTGATCTATTGTTAAAATGGCTAGTAAATGACCTTTTTATTCCAATTAACAAATCATCTGCTAAATCTATGAATCTTAATATTCAGATCTATTCACTTCAATTCATACAATTTATCTGCAAATAGTTGTTGGGCTTTTGATTCTAAATATAATTAGCTGATAATTTTGCTTGGCTGAATTACTTTTCTGGAGGGCCTGCTAAGGCTCTCAGTCGCATTATCTAGCAATAATGAATCTGATAGGTGAAATTTTTTACTGTAATGAGGATGAGACACAGTTGTGACACCTGAGTCTAGTAATAACAGAAGACTGCTAATTATCGACAGCACTTTTTTGTGTGATGCACAGCGAAAAAAAAATCCCTCATTATTAAAAAATAAAAAGTTACAATTATAAGTGACACCGGAGGAGAGTAAATAAAATGGAGTGATTAAAACATTGCTGCTTTAAGGGTGTTTTTAATTAAGTGGAAATGCTAATGTTGTCATACTTAGCAGATGGGATTAAAATTAGTTATTGTAAGTAACTCATATTTTATGTTATGGTTTCCACAGCATGTCTAC